TAAAATCGTTTCACCCTTTTGTCAACCGAACTACATACCAAAATATCATTGAAAGGCTAGCATTTTAATCCCAACCATATTTTGAAAGGTATTTATTCTTTATGATGCCAAATATTTCTAATAAGGTATTTTCTCTATCAAGAGTTTTTTTCTAATTTTTGTTTGAAATTATGATAGATATTTTGACATATGAATATTTTTTCATGACAAATAAGTCAACACATTGATTTTTATGACGATAAGTATTTTTCAAACGTAGAGTAAATTACAGTTTTCGTCCCCTTGATTGTATGAAAATTATGGATTAGGTTCTCGAAAAGAAATAATCACATCGAAGGTCATTGTGGTTTTACTTTTGTTATGAATTAAGTCCCTCGACCTAATTGTTTTAATTTTAATTCCGTTAAAGTAAGGGTGTTTTTGTCTTTTTATCCATTATTTACAAGATTATTTTAGATACCCAATTATAAATTGACACATGTAGCCTTCCATCCCAAAACCAACAAGTTCTTTACTGTCACCAAGATTTTCACCAATAACACCGCTAATTAAAACTGTTCTTGTCACTTCATCTTCTCCGGCAAGAACTCACAACTATTCTCACCACAAACACCATTATTTTCTAGCAAATGGCTCAATAATTCATCAGCACCACTATATCCAAAATATCAAAACCATAACCACATTTCTTCGGGGTTTGCAGATCTGCTTAAAACCCCAAATTTGTTGACATAACAAAATGGGTTGATTTTATGCAAGGTTGCAATAAACCAACAAAAGACTAGTTTCTGCAAAATCAATAAGTATACCTCGTTTTACAAAATCATCACCAAAATTGATATTACAAATCCATAAGCAAACCCCTTTTGGAGACTACGTCCATATCTTGTACCAGATTGGGGATTGCAGATTATGGTGTAGATGGGGGAGTACCAAACGGGGAGTGGTTACACTATTAGAAAAATAACGTTACATTCATGGTGGAATAGGGTTTTTTTAGTTTTGTTTTATTATTACAAAATATAATAAAAATAAAATATTAATTATTCCAAAATTAATGTTTTACAAGAAAATCCATATCATTTATTGTATCAACAAATAATATTGACTTGTATGTCATGTTATTCGCTATGTCAATATGGTAATTTGTTAATATTTAAACATGTTACCTATATACTTAAATGTTTGAAAGTTTACATCTCATTTACCAAAATGAATGTTTCAAAAGTACGTTACTTAAATTAAAAACTAATACAAAGTACGTTGTATTTTCATACAATTTGTCTTTTCTTATGTTTAATATTGTCGTAGAATAACTTACAATTAGATATACGAAATTTAATATCTCCAACAAATTGTTGTAATATTTTTTTGACAAGGTTATTTACCTTGATAAATCATCCAAACCCTTTATTATTTTTTTCAATTTATCGTTATAATTTTTTTTTTATTAAAGATGATCTAAAAGTATCTTCAACAACTATGTTAAAATAACGATTTTGATGGTTTTGGAGATTTTTTTCTCCAACGAGTATCCTAAAAGTGCATCTCCAACAGATTTCTCAAATTTCTCCAAACTGTAGAACCAGAAGTCAAAATCTCTAAAAAAATACATTCATCTCCAACATATTCTTTATTTTGGAGACTCCATCATTGATTATTTAATTCATCTATTAAGATATTATTTCTCTATCTAAATATTTATTTTTTAAGTTTATTATTGGTGTTCTCACTTGTTAATTATTCTTGAGATTATCTCTATATTTGGAGAAAAAGATAATCCTCTCCCTTACTTTGCCATTTTGGAGATAGTTTACAAAAGGGTGGCTCAAAATTCTATTTTCTCTATTTTAGAGAAGCTATTGCAGATGTTTTAATATATGTTAAAATAAAGAAAATAAGAGAGAATGTGGATATATCCAAATTTAAAGTAAAAAATAAAAATAAATAACATTTTAATTTTTTCATCAATAAAAAACATTAAAATTAAATGTTTAAAAGAGAGAAAATAATATTCTACTAAATATAATAAATATTTTAATAATTAATATTATCATCTCTACGTTTAGCGGTTAAAGTTTAATGCAAATGTTTTTAAAGATTTTTACTTTTAGAGCATCTTCAACTAGGGCTGCAAACGAACCGAATGAAAACGAACGGTAAATGAACGAAATTTTTTATGTTCGTGTTCGTTCGTTTAGAAATCAGATGTGTTCATTTACGTTCGTTCGTTAACATGTTAAACGAGCGAACATAAACGAACATGCCTAAACAAACATAAACGTTCACAGCCTTCTTCAATCCTTCACGATTTGTAGAAAGTTTTATCTGTAGGCTAGGGTTTTGGGGGAAAAGTGAAAAGGTAAAATTTTCAAATAAGACAAAATGATGATAAAATTTAAATCTAAATAAAATCTAAAAAGTTAAAACTTAAATAAATATTATTTGAATTCAAACTAGATAAATAAAAGATTACATGATAAATTTAATAAACGGGCATAAACGAACGACGTAAATGAGCGAATATAAACGAAAGTAAATGAACGAATGAGACTCTTGTTCATGTTCGTTCATTTAACCGAACGAACAAAAAAAATTGTTCATGTTTATTCATTTATTAAATAAACGAACTTCATGTCGAATGGTTCGTTGACCGTTCGATTTGTTTACAGTCATATCTTCAACATATTCTCTAAAATATAGAAAATTAAAGTTTTATTTTTTGTATTGGTGTGTTAGATTCTCTAGATGTTTTTCTAAAAATAGATAAATTGTGAAAAAGTTTACTGATTTTTTCAAAATTGAATGTTGGAGAGAAAAATAATTATTTTATTAAATTCCATAACAACATTAAATTATTGTTATTTTATAATCATATTGGATTATAGTTTATGATACTATAAGTTAAAATCTTTAAAATAAATAATTTATTAGAGTTAGAGTGTAATCTTTTTAAGATTTAAACTTTTGAATTTATATTTTAGAAAAATTATAAAAAACCTATTCAATATACACTTAATACTTTATTAAAAAAAACAATATGGAAGAATATAAGGGTTCTTGACAAGAATAACTCATCATTTTATTAAAATTACGTTTTAAATCCTTAAATTTAAAAGTTTAAAAAATTAACCATCAGTTATCCTTTTAGCAAATACCGGTACGTAAGAGGACCTGTGTGCAAAAATAAACTTTTATAACATAGATGTGAGTTCTTAAGTGTACGAATATGATACAACGTCGTACCATTAGTTATGGTTGCTCTTATTCGTCATTCGTATTATTTCTAATATACATACTGCTTCGAACCTTTATCGCGTGGAGCAAGTGGTTTTCATCTGGTAACCCTCTTCAAGATATTTCAGTCCTATGGCTACTTTCAAGTATTATTTACTCTTGAAAAATTGTTCAACTTTCACTCGTTTAGAATGTTGATATTTGGGGGGTGATTATTTAGACTTCACAACAGGGACTGACGTTGATAACGGGGGAAACATGCCCCATAATAAATTATAACCCACCGAAAACACTAATATTACTCATACCAAGACTTTCTTTATCTTCCTTCTCCACCCATTCTTTATCTTCTGTATCCAATTCGCTATCAATACTATCTCATTGTAGCCTCAGATATTCATCTATATTAGGATGATACAAACAATCCCCCGAGACAACCCATAATAAGGATCAAGATTAACCTTATATTTCTCATATGTATTTTCAGTGTCATATAAACTGGCTTTATGTTCTTTAACATAAATATTAGAAATATGAATGCCATAATCAGATGGTAGATCTTGGTATTGGTACGTCAGACGATTTTCGTATGACTTATATGGAGTGTTGTATGAATGATATGGAGTTTCATATGTCACCCAACTATGAAACGGGTGATATTGAGATTGATATGTTTCAAGTGGGATTTGAAACGATTGATATTGGGTTTGGTACAAAATGATATGGAGTGCTCTAATTGTCTCTTCACTTTGGAACGATTAGTATGAAATGAGTGGAAACATGTTTTGGCTGGAACCCGACTTACATTGGTTTGATACATATGGAACAAGTTGAAGTATATATTAAGGGTGTTCGGGCCTATACACAGTGGTTGAAACAATCTATTGGTTTGAGTTTAATTCACAAATTTCAGCACCACGATCACAAACATACAATCTTAGGGCTTGCAACGAAATATCCACACCAATAGCCTAAAAAATGTCTCGTATCATCGGTGTCAAATAACTCGACAATCGAACAAGATGACAGAGTTTTATATGTTGATTTAAAACAATTTTGAAATTTAGGTAAGTTTAATTTTCTGGGTAAATAATTGATCAAACCTGAAATATTAAGTGAATCAGCAACAATACAACAATTTTTTACGTTTCTGAAATATAATTTACCACGTCGTTGACTAACTGCCACGAACCTGTACAAAAAATACGTACCATAACTTTCTCAATCACAGACATTGATTCTTGAGAAATTGGAGAAGATAATTTTTTTTTGTAGACATTGGATTGGTAACTATATATCGATAAATTATAGAAAAACCCAAATATATAGTATGTGCGAAGGAGAAAAAAGAATTAAAAAATTGTGGGTTGGTGGGGCCCTTACGCATCGCGCACCGGTCAGTGCATAATGGTGGGGCCCATCGAGTCGTGCATAATGGTGGGGCCCACCGAGTCGTGCATGGTCAAGGCTTGTTACATCGATGTTATAATTTTTTTTTTGCACACAGGTCCCTTTACGCAACGGTCTTTGCTAAAAGGGTAATTGATGGTTAATTTTTTAAAAGTTTAAATTTAAAGGTTAAAAACGTAATTTTAAAAAAGTGATGGGCTATTCTTGTCAGAACCCTAGAATATAATGTATAATTACAAGGTACCAACCAACTACCAGGGACAGGAATCACCTGTTGAGCATATCTTAACGATGGGCTTGTGGGCCGACATATATAAAAATGACGGTAGACCGGTCAAACAGGGACTGACAAACGCCCGATCCCAATTCCCATAATTTATCACCTTCCCGCCAAAGAAGCCCAAAACCCTAATCTTTCCATCTCGTCTCAGCTTCACTTCCACAATCTTCATCAAGGCTATTACGTGCTCATCTGATGTAAAAGGTAAAGCAACATCATCTGATTTTCAGTTTATTTTCCAATTCTTGTAAAAAAATGTAAGTTATCGTCTGCCAAAACCGATTCTTGTTTCTACTCCGATGATGTAAATGATTACGGAAAAAGAGGAGTAGGGTACTGGTCGAAGATCTTGATCTTTCTAAGAATTTAAAATGTAACTTTTCCTGATGTTGTATGCGTGGTCACAGTTTTAATTCAAGTTTGGTCATGATTTCAGGTGGAACTCTATAGTGGATGCAAGATAGGGCAAATTGTTAAATCTTAGGAGTCATTAATGGAAGATGAAAAGGATGCGTTTTACGTTGTGAGGAAGGGGGACATCGTTGGTGTGTACAAGAATTTTAGTGATTTCCAACCTCTGGTAAGAGTGTAAGACATATAATGAGATTGATGCTAGTCTTCTTCTTTCGATCTATTTGATTTTATCTCATGTTAATATCGACTATCTGTCTATTAGTTACCTTTTCACATGTTACTTCTTTCTTTAAAAATAGTTTTATTGAATTTCGAAGTCAAATATAGTCCATTTGGCGTGCAAAAGATTTGAAACTGTATTTATCTTGTTGAAATATGTGATAATTGATACTAATCAGTGTGTACAAGTGGAGATCCAGCATATTTTTCCATGAAAACTGAAAAACCAATACCATTCTATTTATTTGTAGTTATCTTTGGGTAAATAATATTGTTCTATTCATAGTTGTGTTGTATGGTTCACCCTAGTAATCAACCTTTTGTTTAAACCTTGTAGAACTTGCAACAACTTTAATAGCTTGTTGAATTCCAAATTTAGGAGTGCAACTTTTTTATGGATAGAAGGGAGTAATATACACCTTCAGCATATATGGAACTTTATAGAGGTTAATGTTGGTTTAGTTCTGTTCTGCAATGTGAACCAAAAACTTCAACTAAAAATAACTTCTACATAAATCACTAAACTGCGAGTTAATCTGCAACCGAATCATGTATGTTGCTTGAACTATTTTACATGCCATTCATAAACTCTATAGGCTGCATAAGCTAATTAATGCACCTATAGTTCATATGCGGATAAGCCTTGTATGCCACCTAAGGTAATTATAATATCTGTAATGCATATACCTTTTATGTTGCTTAAGCTAATTATTGTATATGCACTTCGTAAATTATGTACACCTCTTATTCTAGTTATTATTGCTTACTATTCTGTAGCTATATGGTCCCAATGTTGCTGTGTTCAAAGGCTATCGATTGCCTAAGCCTGCTGAGGAATACCTCGCCTCACATGGGCTTAACAATGCAATATATTCTGTTGGTGCCTCTGATGTGCAAGGTGAACTTTTTGGCCAACTTGTTCCATGTCCTTTTCAGGTTAGACTACATTTTTTGATTCTTCTGATACCTTTTTATTTTCGTCACGTCTTCATTTATTTAAACGTTTTTAGTTATACCTATACATATGAGGTTGTGTGTAACTGAGTTTTTCAAGCTTGTAACGATGAAGGTTGCACAAAACTCACCATATAGTATGCCATTTCAAATCACTAGACTCACATTTACATTTAAGGATGACACGCACAAGGACAACGATGGAGTCATCCAATAGAAGAAGATACACCAGTTCAACCTTGTTGTTGGTGCTCGCAACTTGTAACTAAAATGTATCATGAAAGTTTGAGGTATGAAAGCAGACCCAAGTGCAGGACCTCTGAACCAAATATAAGAGCACCAACGAACCCTAGGTTTATTAATGTTGAGGGAGTCCCATAAGTTAACTAGTGTTGACTAGGGCTGTAAACGAACCGAATGATCAGCGAACCGTTCGGCGGGAAGTTCGTTTATGTTTGTTTAATAAATGAACAAACATGAACAATTTTTTTCGTTCGTTTAGTTAAATGAACGAACATGAACAAGAGTCTCGTTCGTTTATTTATGTTCGTTTATATATTAAATTTAATATATAATCTTTTATTTATTTAGTTTGTTTAGGCCTGTTCATTTACGTTCATTTAGACCTGTTTGTTTATGTTCGTTTAGTCCGTTCATTTATGTTCGTTTAGCATGTTAACGAACGAATATAAACGAACAGGAACACACCTGATTTCTAAACGAACGAACACGAACACAAAGATTTTCGTTTGTTTACCGTTCATGTTCATTCATTTGTTCGGTTAAGTTAAACAAATGAAGATGGACAAGCCTCTGTTCGTGTTTGTTCGGTTCGTTTACAGCCCTAGTGTTGACCTCATCTTTGCATTTGTTCCAAATAAGGGAATCTTTGCTGCATGGGGTGTGATGCAGATAAAACAGTGTGTTATAAGAGGAGGCAAATGACAAGATGTGTGGAGGTGGCAATAATTACCCACGGTGATGTCACCAGGAAAATCAGTCATGCAACAGTTAGTATTATCAATCGTGGGTCTGTATTCAACCATGGATCAAGTTACACAGTAATTTCCAAGTTCCCACCTTCACCATTTTTTAGAGTGATACAAATTAATAATATTATCAAGTTATTAATTTTTAAACAGATGGAGGAACAACCACTGGGAGGAGCCACTTTCAAAATTTGTCTCTAATAAGAGCGTTCTGAATTATCGTTAAAAGGAACCAAATTCCAATGATGAGTGAGGATTTCATTTCAAATTTTGTTACGCAGAAGCCATCAAAGGCTTTAGCAACACAAGTGCTAGACTGCTGGCCAGTTTGCAAAACTCTTAAAAAGAATACCCTTGGGAAGAAATCTAGTGAGGATACACTGGCTATGACTTATGCGAATGAAGTATCTTGAGAAAGATGAAATGCATAATTTAGGTCTAGATGCTGAAAACTAAATTTTACATATCTAAACGACGGGAACCAAACAAGTACATCAAGTAACTTATAGCAACATTGCTGGCTCTATCCATCCCCTCCATCGGTTGACCCTCACCATTACTTATGGAAAGAACCTTGCTCCTGTATAATTGGCCTTACGTTTGCTGAAAGGATCTTTTTTGCGCTATGAAAAAAAACATGGGCTCTTTTGGCACATGAGAGTTCCTTCTTGAGATGAAGCTTGCCGATAGTTTACCATGAACCTTTTTTGAGACAAATGCTTAGATAGTTTCTTGTAGAATTAAAAAGTTCATAAACATTGTCAAGATTCATCCTGGTCAGCAAAACAATACTATGAAGTCTACCCACCCTAGAATTAAAATCTTTGAGGGCACTTTTCATGAACTTAAGCTAACCAAACATCACTTGTATAGGGTTTGTGGGACCAGAGACTCTCAACCTTGATACTCCATTCTTGAAGTTTGGATGGAAATAAGATAAGAAATCTCACATGTCTACATGAAGATAGTGAAGGCTGGTCTTGTGATCAGATAATCGTCCAGGGAGGACGAACACCAGCCTTAAAGTATTTGCAAGCTGTTTTGTTACTCTTTTATGGCATTTGTACTGTATAACTTTTGTATTTGCAGTAATGATTATTATTTTAAGACATTGTATAATTTTCATATTGTTTCAGCAACCACCTTCTGTTAAGGATAAGGCTGGCACTAAGAATCCTGCTGATAATAGGATAAAGGTAATGCTTAGTCAAAGTTGTAATGGTTTGCATTTTCTTTATTACTATAATTTATTTGGAACTTTTTCTTTCTTTTGGATATATGTTTGATTTATAAAGATGAATGTCAACCAGAAATAGCCAAATTGTTTTAGTGGGTCACTGAGGAGGTGTAGGCTTGGCCCAGTCATTCCAAAATATGGTGAAGAAACAAATCATTATTATGAACGTCATGGTTTATGTACATTTTTCTGGTCTGATGTATTTGATATATAATAGGCATTATATAATCATGCTTACAAGAAATATTAGTCAAAGTAGAAAAGTTTCTACATCTTTCTTCATTACGATGACCACTTCTGGCTTTCTGCTATTAGTTATGTAGTTTAATTGTAGACATCTATAATCTGAAAGATCTCATGTGCTTCAAGGAGCAACTCAACTCACATAAACTACATCCCAAACCTGTGGACGTCTGCAAGAAAAGCCGTGACAACCTAATGGTCTCAGCAACAGTGCAACACATGTGCATTCATGCATCAATCTCCAATTTAATACCCCCTGTGGGCTACTTAACCCTGTTAAGTTGGTCTATCCTTACTTCTTAATGCTTTGTTTTTGGTACAATCATGTCTCCTCATTGCTTGGACATGTCGAATTTACAAACAGCAATCCTTCAGTTCTTGATTTATTTGGTGTTTCTTTAAGTGAAATTAAACAATTGATTTGATGGAGTCACTGCTTTGATATGATCTGTTGCACAAGAATCTTTTTTGGGGTCATGGCTGGAGGATGATGGTATATGTCCTTGCCTGTACAATGTGTTCTCTTTCATAGCTTGCATTTGCGTAGAAAAATTGCTCACAATCTACAGTTATTTTCACCCAGCATTACTGATTCTGAAATGTATTTTGTTTATGTATCTTTCTACAGAAAAAAGTTGGATCAACTTCTTTTTCAGAAGGTCCTCAGAGAAAGCTACCTGAGATTGAAAGCTTTATGGAGACTCTACCGGTTTCTGCTTATTGTGTGAGGTTTTAATAATTTAATCTTTAGAGTAATTATCTTGTTTTACTGAAAAGGTTTTAATGACATAGGTGACAGGCCACTTATTCCTGCTTAGATTTCATTGACTGCACAAAATTGAGTCAGATTTTGAAAACTGATTGTTGTTTGTACTTGGGGTTTTCTTTGGGGTATGGGGTTCTGTTGCCATAATATCACCTTCCCTTTGTTCCAAGAGTTATGGCAGATCATGAGTTTAATGATTGACCATGTTAATGTAAATGAAATGCGGTCCATAATAATGATTCAACCCCCCCCCCCCCCCCCCCCCCCACCTTGTATGCCATTGGCATTATGGATGCTGCAGAATCTATTGGTTAGGAATCACACAACTGTGATACATGTGTGGGATTATATTTGCATGCATCATTGCCAAGATGTCTATCGTTAAATATACATCTAAAATCTAAAGAAGTCAGAGACCAGCAGTTATTAATGGGAGAAGTGAGAATACATTTACCATATTACTTGCCTGTTTTTATTGTTTCCTCATGGTTGGCTGACACTAGATGATCATTTTCTACTCTAATTACAGTGCTCCTGTATTCTTGAGTTTGATGGTGCAGCAAAGGGAAACCCTGGGCCAGCTGGTGCCGGGGCTGTGTTGCGTGCAATAGATGGAAGTCTTGTACGCTCTCAAAACACCACACAGCTCTTTATGTAGTATATTTTGCAGTATTTAGCTCTCTGATCTTGAAGTCTTGTAGGTTTACCGTCTGCGAGAAGGTCTCGGCGTTGCAACAAACAACGCTGCTGAATACCGGGCTGTCATTCTAGGACTGAGATACGCCCTTGAGAGAGGATTTAGGCATATCCGTGTGCAAGGAGACTCCAAGCTTGTTTGTATGCAGGTATTCTTTTTATTTTGTGGGTGGCACTATTTTTCCTTGGCTGTTATGAATTTCGTATTTCTAATAGCTGCTATCAAGTAAAAAAAGTCCAAGTTTGCAAAATCTAGAAGAATATATTCTCTATTGTTATCCCCCTTCTGTAAGGCATTGCAAATCTCCTCACTACAAATTAAAGGTGGTTCTATTTGATCTTTGTGAAGTTGTGAATTAACCTTGACTCTCTTGAAGGTCATACAAGTATTTGAAAAGATGCTGACATGTGCTAATCTTAAAAGAGTTCCATAGACTGCCCAAATGGTGCTGTTAATGATTTATGGACTTGAGGGTTCATAAATTCTAAAATTGGGGATATAGGTGCATCATAGAGTCTAAAGAATTTCTATCATCTTTTACTTAGATTAGAAGTGTGTAGAAAATACAAGTAAAATCAAGCTAGTAAAAGAAATATGTGATTGTTTCCTGTTGCTAACCATTAAAGTTGTAACTTCTATGCGCAAGGTTCACTCTTTGAGAAATGTTTAGTAGGGGTTGAGACTCCGATGAAAATTTGGCTATTGAGTCCAATGACTTGAGTGTCAAAAATAATGATTTTGCTAACCATTAGGCGTAGTTTGTTTTTCAAGAGGTACGTAAGTCTAAAGTCTTATATCATCTCTTGTTTATAAGAGGTGGTGTTGAAGTCTGAAAGTAGAATCAATAAGACTGTTTTTGTAAAACGATAAATGTCTGAATGTGTAAGCAAAATCAAAGTTAATGTTATTAAGAAACTATTATTACAAACAAACATAAATGCTAATTAAAATTTATCAAAAATAGTGTAACACCCCTAAAAATAGGAGTAAATTTAGACCAAAAGTCGATATAGAAATGAAGCCTATAAATATAAATCACCCAAAGGGGAAATAGTATAGCGTTTACAACCCCAAAAATAAAGAGGATAAACAACAACCTACTAATGTAAACTATTCTAAGTTTAGATTATAAACTGGTGTCACTGTCTTCTCCAAAAAAATCATGTCAATATATAATGCCAAACTGACCAAAAGCTATCAATCACAAAATTCCCTCTATCGGCATCCAAACACTCTGCACAAGACTTCGGAGTCCCACTGCTAAGTGAACCCGATATACATGTCATTTAAGAAAAAGTGTTACGTTTGACGCCTAGTGAGTCCAAACAATTAGAAGTAATGCAAATAACCAAAACAATAAAAGTTTATAAGCTTGATATTAAAACCCAAGTTCATGTATTCCAAATAAAGACCATAAGGTCCAAAACACATCTTACTGTGACGGGGGAGTCCCGATTTTCATGGGTAGTGGCGGACCACAGTTCACACTAAAGATCAATGGCCAATGAGTTCAACCAACCATGATTTATAGTTCAAGGCTCCCGATGATCCGAATTATACTCATCCGCTAGAAATTACACCATGTGGTCAATGGCTAGTATTTGATTCCAAGAGTCCATATCAAATGCCCCCGATGGTCCAATGCCTATTTCTAGTTGCAAATGGGAAGACCATCCCTTTTAAATACAAACTGACTCCTATCCTTGTGGATTCATTTGCATCACAACCTAATACTTGTCACAACTTAAAAGTGACCAACCATAATCACACATATAGTTCTTAACTTTCATTATTCAAGTGTCGTCATAAAGTCATTTGACACAAGATTTACCCCAAGGTATCATAACTCCAAGTAAAACTATTTTCTTTCCTCGACAAAATATCACATTCATCAATTTTTTTCCCAAAAGTTCACAAGCTTCAAGAATGGCTTTGCTTCACAAGTAATAATGCGTCTTTTCCAAGTTAACCATTTTCGATGAAATATCCTTCAACAATGTCAAAATCAAGTATAATCATAAATCATGGAGTTCAAATTCCACAATTACATTTATGTACCTAAAACACACTTTTATAGGACACACTTGAATATTTGACGTTTTCGAGCAAAAAGGGTATAAGACCCCCATATCTTCCAAATACCCAAAATTGGTCAAAGTTCAAGATTATGTAAAATACATCATGAAGAATTTTTTAGGAGACGAAAATGAAGCATTTTGACGTCTATAAGGTTTAAATAAAGTTAGGATGAACTCACATTGCTTGGTTTTGGTAAAAACCTAAAAACCGAGAAAACCCTAGAAATGGTGGTGAGATCTTGAGCTCTAACACTACAAGCTTGATGATTAATGCCACTTTAATGTGCCTTCAATGCTCTTTTAGTGTGGACTTAGGGTTTCACTAAGAGGGAGTAAATGTAGAGAGAAAAAAAGTTGGTGAATGAATAAATGAAGTCTAAGTTGAAAATCCCGATTTATCACCTACAGGCATTATGTGACCTTGCCATGCGACGCTAGGATTGTCCGCTTTTCTGACTATATTTATGGTACTGAACATGCAACGGTGGCCTTGTCCCAAAACTCCCACTTACGGTACATAAAATGCGACCCTGCCATGCGACGCAAGGGTCACGGCATAAGGGTCGCGGAACCCATGCAAAAGCTTAAGATGTCACATTCAAGCCCAATTCAAGGTCTAATTCTCAAGGCTTAATCCACCAACATAGAAACTAGATATACGAACTTAAATAACGAGCGTAACCTTGATTAAGACGGAACATAATCTAGTCAGTTACATCATAAATCCCGGGTGTTACAAATCGTATTTTATTATTTGAAGATAAGAACAAAAAGAGTTGGTATTTTCTAAGAGTACTAAGTTTTGTGCTATTGAAACTTGTACATCTTGGATGTTCTCAAGTCTCAAATGTTCTATTGTCATGGTACAAGTCGTAAAGCTCGAGTTTGTTATCTGTCATGATAGTCCTTAGGAGCTGCTGCCTGCTCACTGCCGGCACTCTGTTCACCGAATGGTTCCCATCACCACCTGCTTTTGGCTTCTTTTTTCATCACAACACCACAACAAAGCAATTTTATTTATTATTTAAAAATTGCAAATGAATTGGCGAGCTTGATCTCTGGATTCTTGTCGGTGGTTCTTCAGTCGAATGGCTGGCGACAAAGGTCATATCGGTCTCTCTTTAGTGAAAGATATGATGGATTTTGGATAACTATTTCTGCCCGTGGTGAGAAGGGAAGAGAGAGCAGGGTTTACCACTTGTTTTTTAGGGTTCCAAATTTTTTGTTTTTGTTTTTGTTTTAGGGAAATAAGAGGACGCTAAGAGGTTAACGAGTTTACCTCTTATCTAATAAGAGGACGGTAAGAGATTTTAAGATCTTATCGCAAAAAAAGTCTTACAAGTCTAACCTCTTATCTAGTAAGAGATAAGGCGAATATGAGGTTTTTCAAAAAATAATAAGTACCTTAACCACAAAGGACAAGAAAAGAATGGGCTATGAATGGTGAGAAATAGGATGTCATGCTGGAATTTTGAGGGATCACCTCATGCATATGATATCCATATGCTGCCTTTTGGAGCTTCACCGCAGGGTTCCACAGATTCCTTATTGTACCCATATGGCATTGGTTTTTCCTATATTTCTGGAGTTTCTCCATATGCATACAGTAACTATCCACCATGTTATTATATGTTTGGTAAAACTGCGGTAGTCTTGCTTTGTTCCTCTTTGAAATTTGTGCCGAGTTCATTTCTATCTTGTCTCATTTATTTCAAAATATGTTTTAACGATAAAACACTACTAGGACATCAGAGAGGTAAAACACATATAAAAATGCTCCACATGTAGTTTTGATAGTTCATACATCACCTGGAAATCAACAAGTCAAAGATCACAAGTAGTCTCTGAGCAGGGAGCTTTAAATAAAGTAACAGGCATAATCAATATTATCATTGCTTTAGATGAATGCAAGTGTTTATAAGTCAAGTCACTAATGAGATGAACAGTTGGTTACTTCATAACCATTATACTATTTCATTTGTCCTAAAAGATTGCAACAATATCCATTTTGGGAGTCTCATATTAATTGCAATATTTTTCATTTTTGGCAAACTTTGAATTTATATATAGCTATTTGCCATAGCAATTATTACAAAATATTGGATAAGGGTTTTGGTCACAAGATTCTCTATTTTATTATTAATAAGTAGTAACTTTACATTTGATTGATACTAAAGCACTTTCATAGGTTTCTAAAAATTATGTGTGTGGTCAATGCTGCAGTTACTTTTAGATGGAGGAAGTACATTAAGGGGGTGCTTGGGGGAAAGAGAGGAAGGTAACGAAAATATAAATCATTAATGGTGCCGGCTCATTCCCATTTTCATTCCCTGAAACTGACCAAGCGCCCCTAAGTAGTGATAGCTAAAACACATTTAGTATACACACATAATATGTAAGTTAAAGAAATCTTTTATTTTTTTGATATGCAAATCACTAGTTATTATTAAATGTTACCTCTTTTATTTGTGTGTGTGTACCTATATCTATACATGTATGTATGCATGATCCAGAACATATGCAAGGGGCGAAACGTTTGCCTCTTGCCCCTTGATGCACACCTAGTAATGCATTAAGCAATATACAAGTGCGAGATTTGTGCTCAGCATCTCTAGTTTATGTTGGGCAAGCCATAACCACTTCATCAAGCTTGGGACTAAAAAGATAAAGTTTTGGTAGATTTCATATAAAACTTGAGCTACTGTTTATGAAATTTGGTGACAACCTGTACGAGTAACATTCTTTTGCTAGGTTCCATACCAAGAATGAATAGTAGAATTGTATCTCAACCACAAACATTGCTTTGAAGTTGCAAAATAAGAAGGCTTTTTTAAACCGGTACACAAGCAAATGCATTAATACTTGTTTAGTTTGTGAGAAAGGGGTGTATATACGAATAGGGTGATTATAAGGTAGTTGTATTTAAGGTAACCTACATAGTTCTTAAGAAAGAGATTTACCACTGTATGACACATTTAAGGCCCACTTAGGCCGAACCTACTCTGGCTTGTGGTGCTTAGTCTCTTCTCTTCTTTTGACTTTAGTAGTCTTCTTTTTCTAATAATCCTGCAACTAATGGCAGTCAGTGACTTCTTGCATCGACTGCTTTACTTTTGAGGATTTTGCTTTCTGTCAATGGACTTGCTATATGTCTACTTTTTTCAGTGCCCTTTATCTTATTAACGTCTTAACACAACCTGGACAAAACAGGTTAATGGTCTGTGGAAAACCAAAACCCAGAACATGACCAGCTTGTGCAAAGTAGCCAAGGAGCTGAAGGATAAGTTTGCATCTTTCCAGATTTGTCATGTTGAAAGGGTATGTTAGCATTCGAATTATTCCTTTGGAAGCGGTGTATTATAGCTGTTCTCTAAACCTTAACAAGTTTATGCAGTTTCCTTACACTGTACTTGTTGCAGTCACAAATATTGCTTCATCCATATGCAATTATGACCAAAGTTTTGAAAATACCGTCACCTTGATGTATACATAAAGAACAAGGCAAAAATTAGGAAATGATATCTAAAGACGCTCCTACATTTGTCAACGTGTTTCTAATTTTTGGATTCTTTTTCGTTTTGATATTTGAAAGGAGTTCAATACCGAAGCTGATGCTCAAGCAAATCTGGGAATACATCTTCAGAGTAAGAATGGGTTATTATTTTTGTTTTTTGTTTATGGTTTGGTATTTTATTGGTTGGTTCATAAATATGATATATTTGCAGTTGGTGAGGTTCAAGAGGAAGTTGAGAGGAGATAGTTGAAAATGGGGAAACATGCAGCTCTATTTTTGTTCATCAGTGAGGGTTAAGGAGTATTAATGCAGCAGCATCATCAATTAATGTACCATAACTTGTAGAAGCTGTTGTGTTAATTTAACTACCATATGACTCCCTTGAACACTTTTGACTTTTTGTAAAATGCACCATTGTAATGTAGATCAAGGTGGGGCTAGTTTAAGATTGGAATTCATGAGTGAATGAATTATTTAATCATTATACTTGAGTTTTTATCACACATCACACGTGTGTCGATGTAGGTGTTGGGAGGATGAGATGTACAAAGACGTAGAAAGGTTGTTTTGCAAAAAAGATGAAGCTTAAGGGATCAAGAATAAAAGCAATCAACCTTGAGGTTGACTTGATGGGCAAATGAAGGCCATCTTTTTCATGGCTCGCTCAGTTTTGGCGGTTTTCTTTATAGTCCTAACTTTTATGGAATTAGTCGAGATACACTTGAAGCTTGTTTGGCCATTCATGTATACGCAAAGAAAAAAGAACATCTGTAATGGTTTTGACTCCATTAAACAAACGTTTACTTAGAGTATCTCCAGTAACTATTCAAAACCTTTAAAATTTTCTATTTCAATGTAGCTGTTAGAGATGTCATAGTTTTCATTATTTATGGGTCATGACTCGTGTGAATGTAATCACATGTTTCAAGTCCCTTGCCAAATATTCTGAAGAATACGAGAAACCAGTGTCGTTATTTTTGTAAGTATAATGGTCGTGTGTAAAATCGAAATGTTTAGGTTTATAAATATAGAGAGAGAATCAGGTTTAAACAAAAACAATAACCAAATAAAAGAACACGAAAGCGATCAAATCACGTGCAAATCAATTGCGAATTTACATTAATGATCAACGTAAGGAAGGGTGTGCGGGTGACGTGACCCACTACCTCAGATCATGACCAAAATTACGTGAATCACTTACGATTTTATTGGTAAATCACATTTGATTCGACAGTTTTTTGATTCTCTTAATAGTTATTGTTTTCGTATGATGGTATCTTTTTCTATATATTTACTTATTTAAAATCCGTCAGGTTGTTGTACCATGAGGAACTTTAGTTGTACCCTGTAGTACAAGTTCGCTTGATGATAACTCTTGTTTCTGCTTGGTGGGATGGATAGGGTGATATAAACTCAGGTCCTCTTCTCTACCGAATCTCTCTCTCTCTTGAAGAAAAGAAGCAGAAATGGCCACTATTTTTGCATCTTCCTCCATCTCTTGTTGCAAACCTTTTAACCCCCATAAAAACCCTACAACTCTTTTGCCTGCTTCTATTTCTACCACCACTTTCTCCTCTTATTTGCCCGTTCGACTTGGATTGACCCTTACCATTCCCAATTCTTACTGTAATTCATTCATATCCAACAAAAATTCGTCCAATTTCAACAAGATAAGGTCTGTAGCTGGAGAAGAATCTGTAATAGAACAAGACACCGTTACCAACCAAGGAGACATCGAGCCCACAGTTTCTGTTCCTGTTTCCCCTTCCGATATCCTCACCATGTTCTTTCAGGTATTCATCTCTTCCATTCCCCCTGTTTTTGTTTGTAAAAGTTATGTCTTTACTGATCGGCTGATGAATGCCTGCCAACTGTTTGATTTCGGTTCAATATTCAAAGAACAAAAACACACATCTTTTATGGAAGTTTGAAGCTGTCCAATAAATCTTTGAATTGCTGTATACTGAAATCCAATTGCAATTGAACACATTCCCATGAACGTGTTTCATGTAACAGCATTTCACTCTTCAAGATTCTGGATTCATAACAGCATATAGCTAAAAAGTTCCTTGTAATGTTATCCAATTTGCTTTGTAACAAATCTTTGATCCTTTTGTTTTTATATGGAGGCTGAGGGAACAATGAGTGAAGGAGCTATTCCTTCAGTGACAAGTGCTTTAGAGGTAAATGCTACTTATCTCCAACTTTAATTTAATATACCAAGTGCTGCAATCTTTTGTAGTATGTGGGTGGATAAATTTTATATCTCAACGACAATATGCTGGTAACGGTTCCCTCTGATTAGTGTATCTCGCTTGGTCCTCGTCTATGGTCGTACTTGATATTTCATTTTATGATCTCATACTTGACTGCAACAAAACTTGTCCTGTTAATGAACCTATGTGTGTGTGTATATATATATATAGATGAAGAATTGTATGAGAATAGGAGTTAAGGTGAGAAGTTTAAGAAGGGATTTGGACCCTTATCACTTTTAATCTCAAACCAACCGATGAATTGTGCTTTAGAAGGGAATTGATCCGGTGTATCTCATTACACTTAATGTAGTGTTTCTCTTCAATTAGGATTGATCTAAGGGTGAAGATCCCTTCTTACCCTTCTCACCATAACTTTCATTCTCACCTGAACCCATATTCATATAGATAGATAGGCAGCAGTCACAATGCTCCTAGTGGACTTTGGGTTTTCCCTTGGTTTCGTGACTAAAGGGCCACAATCACTTTATATAAGGTATTGGAAGATTGATGGATCTGGAGCCATTAAAGATAATGCAAAATTCCATATATTTTTGAGTAACCATGGGTACCAGCTTGTGTGCACCTCATGGGCCCTGAAGTTAATAGCTCGAAAAATCTCTAGTGGCCCTTAGGAAACTTGAAATGGCGATCAATGGAGGAGCCCAAGGCCCAGGTTTTTTTTTGCTGGTTGAACTGGTCCTCAAGGTTGCACGTGCCTTGATTAATCTCATGGATCTGAAGTTAACAACCAGGAAAAATTCCTGGTGACCTTGAGGAGACTCGAATTGGCGATCTATGGGGAGGAAACCCAAGGCCTAGCCTGTATTTGCCATTTAAACTGGCCCTCAAGGTTGCACGTGCCTCGATTAATCTCATGGGCCTTGAATCCCTAGTGGCCCTGAGAAGACTCCAACTGATGATCTATGGGGAGGAGCCCTAAGGCCTAGTCTTTATTTTCCGGTTGAACTGGCCCTCAAGGTTACAACACACCCTTTGATTAGTCTCTTGGTCCCTGATGATAACAGATAGGACAAATCTTTATGGCCCTGTGGTGATCTGAACTGACGATCTAAGGGGAGGAGCCCCAAGGCCCAATCTTTATTTTCTGGTTGAACCGGCCCTCGAGGTTGCACACGGCTCCATCAATATCATGAGCACTGAAGATAACAACTAGGAAAAATCCTTAGTGCCCCCCCCCCCCCCCCGAACTGAAAATTTATGGGGAGGAATTTGCTGGTTGAACTAACCCCTAAGGCTGCATGAGCTTCGATTAATCTCATGGGCCCTGAAGATAACATCCCTAGTGGTCCTAAGGAGATGGCGACCTATGGGGAGGTACCCCAAGGCCTAGGCTCTGTTTGCCGGTTGAGCTTCCCCCCTCAAGGTTGCATGCACCCCAACACAAATGAGAAAAGTACAGTAGTTATAGATTTTGCTCAATCACAGCTCCACTATTGCTCAAGCCTCAAGTATGGCTAGGAACGAACAAGTAAAGTGGATTTTCAAGTATGTATATATGTGTAAGGTTCTTATAGTGGTGGCCGTGCGGATCCTACGTTACCATCACCGACCTTAAAGTGTCTCTGAAAAAATATGAGACCAGGACCAATGAACTAGTTCCATGAATTACGTCATCATCACCAGCAAGTAGGGTTTGTTTAAGATGGTATAAATTAATGCAACCAACCTCTGATGTTATTCATATGTGCATTCCCTTGTTCCTTCAGGAGACAGAGGGCATCTCAAGCTTAAGAGTCCAAGTTCACGAGGGTATTGCAAGCGTCGAGGTGAGCTCATTTTTCTTTATGTGATAAGCGACATACCTGTGCTTGAACCATGGTCCTTTTCAATTGATTTAGTTTTGAAAAATCCTCCTAAAATCATTAAAAAAAATCCGCCATTGACATACTACAAACGCCTCAATAACTACCGCTCTACTATTTGAGGTAGAGATCAGATTTGCGTACATCTTACCCTCACCTCTGGATGGGATATACTAGACTTGTTTAAAGGATTATTTCACAGAGCAAAAGAATGAGAGATTATCATGTTTTTGTTTTAGTTAAAGAAGCAAACGACGGTGCAAGCTACTGGAGTGGCTTCTAATCTGGTTGAGATCATACAAAGTTCTGGATTTAAGTTGCAGGCATTGAATTTAAGCTTTGAGGATGAAGATGCCAACTAAATATTCGATTTAAATTTGTTTTCTTGAATAGTTGAGGTATCCTGCTGATGTTTCTTATTTGCATTTGGTGTTGTCTTCCAAAGTAATCGAGTTATCATTTTGACCCACAAAAGATGAAGTTTTTAGGGTTAGGGTTCAAGATTGTTGTTATTCTGCCATCATATATGCTACTGTCTAATGAATTGCATATGATTTTTGGAAATGGGTGATCCCAACTCGTGACTGGACGCTTCACCCACAACACTGACTCCTTTCCCAGTTGGGATGTCCAAAAGAAACTGAAATCGACGATGAAAATTGAAAACTGAAATTTTTGGGTCGGATGCGGGGACTAATTTTTTCGGAGACGGGGTGGGAGCATGTACCAATTTCGCCATATCCCCTTTTTGAGATGAAAATCTCATTGCGATCTCGTTCCCTTTTTTCTTTCATTTATACCATGAATTCATTAGATAGATGCCGTTTCCTGTCTCGAAAAATTCTTTTCTTCTATTTGTCTTTGATTTCTTGTCTATCTTCTTTCATCTTCTATAGGAGGCTCATATTTGGTCCAATCAAAAACGATTTTATCATTTATGTATCCGAAATTCAATATAGGGATCTGATTTTGGGAGTTACTCTTGGTGTATTTTAGGTTTGTTATGACGTAGATAAGGTTCTAGTAATGGATATTGGTGGATCTAAAGTATTCATTAAAGAAAGCTCAAGATTAAGGTAAAACCTAGATTTAGCCTAGATCTAGCAAGATGAATTCAAGTTGCTTTATGAAAACTATATACATGCCAAAATCAAATGTTTATTTTGAAGTATTGAAATGTTTTCCTTGATATTTATCAAATGTGGTCATTATTTGATAATGTTTACATTTTTGTATAATGGTTTATAAAACTTGAGAAATGCCCGTCTAAAAGATTTTAGACATTTTGATAACTAAATCATAAGTGTGTCATATCTAGAGATTATTTTGGTATTACTGCATTTTTTTGTACTTGGTTTAATAAACTGTTTAGAAAATGCATGTTATTATGTTACGAGACATTTTGGAAATGTGAAAATATGATTTCATTTAGAAATGTGAAAATATGATTTCATTTTTATGTTAAAATTGAGTTAAATTATATACTAAAAATGTAAAAAGTAAATTTGAATGTTAATATCGATGAGAAAGAAAATAAATAAATAAATATGCATTTTGAGCAGAGATGATTAAACATGTCCTATTGAGTTCATGATTAAAGGTCGTTGACGTTGGTAGTCCCAAAGTCAACTTCCATGAAGAGAGCTCATCGTTGAATTTAATGGCTTCAAAGGACATCAACGGAACACGAATGGTAATGAAGAAACTCTGTTAATTGATTATGGCAGAAAACTCAGTATACAAATTATATCGTTCCAAAAATAGAAAGAAAAAACAAAACCCAAAAGAATTACTGAATCTGATTTAGTTGAACGAGTCACACCGGCGCCGGATCTCACCTCTCCGACCACTCTTCACACCGTATAAACTCAGCTTCTCAATTGCTCGACCAAATGCCTCAAAGAACGCCTTCTGATCTCTAGCGTATAACTCCACAAACGGCCTCGTTCTTGCATCCATTGTTAACGCCCTATCGGATCTCAAAACCCCCAATCCCTTTGGCAAGTTCTTGTAGTACGAGTTATCGAAATCCCGTGGGGTCATTATGTCGTTAAACACCGACAACGATGGGTTTTTCCGGTAATCGGCACACGCATTTCTCAGTCCCTGTGCGTACCTCGGATTGTAAGACGGATCGAACGCTGATGTTCTGCTGTAATTGTAAATATCTGAGCTAATTTCACTGCAATGAGAGAACCCAATCGTGTGGGCACCAGTTAACGCCACCATTTCCTGGATTGAAAACCCTCTGTAGGTGAAGATCTTGATGATTTGATTCATGGACATGGTGGGTTTGGGAAGAATGTATTGAGCGCGTGAAGCTCTAGACACTAATCCGTCTCTCCGGCCGAGTTTCACGGCGTAGAAGGGCCCACCCATCATCGTCACAAGGTTGCGCGTGGCGACGGCGAGGATGTCAGCACACGAGACAACTCCTGGGCAGGCGAGTTCCAGGGCGGTTTTAGCACGGACGACGACGTCGAATCCGTCTCCGGGAAGTGAGAGGTTGATGTCGGCGTCACGCTCGGCTTTGTTGAAGGGAGTGGAGGAGATGAGGATGGAGCCGTCGCAGCCTTCCACGAGGCAGTCGTGGAAGAAGAGGCGAAGAGCAGCGCCAGCGGTGGTGGGTGAGGCGATCTGCTTGTTGGTGGTGGTGTCCTGCATTATCTGTTCAAATCTGGGGCATGTTTTCTGGTAGAAAGTGGTGGTAAGTTGCTGTGAATGTGAAGGTAAGATGAAGAGTAATGAGATGGAGAGAAGTAAAGCAAATGCCTTCACCATTACCGCCATGGATGAGCCTGTGTGAGCTGAAAGAGAGGTTGCAGATAGCGGCATCTCTGTGAAGGAGGAGGGTTTTAAGGTGTTCCTACGAAGTTATTTTTAATCGTTATTTATTACTCATCATTATTTAATATAAATGATAAAATAATGGAGTAATCATTAAAATAACCAATTCTTTTCTAAATTCACTGCAAAATAGCCACAATATTTCTCGTATATTTTCAACAGAGTTTTTAAAAAATTTAAAATAAAAATCTAAAAAAAAACTTGTAAATTCTTATTTAATTTCTTAAATAAGAAATTATCTATATTATATTATAAAATATTTGACAAAAACTTTTAAAAATTATTTTTTATGCATTAAGTATTGTTTATTGATGTATATTACTGAAAATTCAAGATTACAAGTAAATTATCCGTATGTACAACTTATTAAAATTACATGTTTGAATTTGTATAATTAACTAAAGATAAACATAGTCAAATCTGGATAATTATCTCATTTTAAATATATAAAATTTAAAATATATTTAGGATAATCATTGAATTCAAAATACTAAATATTATCTTTATAAAAAAATTATATTATTAAACTAAAAATAAATGACTTCATTATTAAATCTATCTATACTATATTATAAACATTTGACAAAAACTTTTAAAAACTATTTTTTATGCATTAAGTACTGTGTATTGATGTATATTACTTAACATTCAAGATTACAAGTAAATTTTACCGTATGTACAACTTATTAAAGTTCTATGTTTGAATTTGTATAACTAACTACAGATAAACATAATTAAATTCTGGATAATTATCTCATTTTAATTATAAAAAAATTAAAATATATTTAAAATAAATATTGAATTCAAAATGCTAAATATTATCTTTATAAAAGAATTATATTATTAAACTAAAAATAAATGAGTTCATTATTAAATCTAAATTAAATTCTAATAAAAATTGAATTAAAAAAATTACACAAAAAATAGGAACTTTTAAATATTTAATTTGATACAACACTCGATGTATGTTTTTTCAAAATTTTATGATATCTTCAAATTTATATTTTATTCAAAAAAATAAAAACAATATCGTTTTTTCGGTACCACATAAAATTGTATTATAACATCGACTGAGACATAATAAAATGAAACATTAAAATTAAGATTGATCTCGCTGCATTGTACGAGTATATTTCTAATATATTATTATATAGGTCCTGGTATGGTGGACTTTTATTTAATTTCTTAATTTAATTTGTTATTTATAATATAACAATAAAAATTACAAAATGTAAGTTCTTATAAGAAGTTTATAGAAAATGTTAAAAATCTCAATAATTAATGTGTATAAGAAAGGAATTTATTGGAAAGAATGCATTTAGTTAATTCCTTTAATTATTAACCCTAAAATAATTAGGTAGGAAGTGAAATGATTAAAAAAAAACTAAAATATTAATTTATTGAAGCATTTTATGAATGAGGAGGAGCGTGCAGAGTAGTTTTTACGATTTGGGTTACAGGGGAGGGGAGGGGAGGCGGCCACTAATCACGGTGGACGACACGCGGTTTAAGGTGGCCAGGGTTATTTCTGTAATTTAGCAAAAGTTTCATGTGACTTCCTTCATGTGATTGGAGACAGCTATTACGGGAGGAGGTGTTCCAATGCGAAAGCTGTACACGTGGATCCAGAGAGCAGCATGATCCAACGGTGGATAGTCAACCCCTTCAAATAATATATGAAAATGATATGATGCAATATTAACTTAAAAGAATAATCCCTTAACTTATGCTCAATTTACACCTTCATTTTATGGAACTTTTTCCACTTACAATCCAAAATCCTCGTTTTTGCCCTGATTCTCACCCAATTATAGTAAGTATACTCTTTTTTTTTTTTTTTTTCAACTATGGGTGTTTGGATCAGTTTGTATGTATTCAATCTTGTAAATAGCGTGAGACATGACATGACAGCATGACCAAACCTTAAGCCTTAAATGTCAAAGACGAGATTACAACATTTTTCGAGGCATGACTAATAGTAACAAATCTCCATATAATATATATATATATATATATATATATATATATATGGAGATTCAGTTGAAAAACCCCGAAAAACTGACTTTTCGTCCTTTAGATCAAAAAAAATCAAAGGTCAAGATTCAAATGGTATATTTGAAAATAATTTAATGAAAGACAATTGTGAGAATGTCAATATCTTTTAGAAGGCGTAACTGGAATGAATTTATAATTATATTTCCTTTAATTAAATTCCCTAAATTCTCTTCCTCAATCTCTCAATTAGGTATCTCGATTTTCTTCCCCAGATTACGTTTCTTCCTCATCATCATGGTCTCCTTTTCTGTTTCTTCTTCTTCTTCTTCTTCTTCTTCTTCTTCCTCCTCTCTAGAATTCTCCAATCTTACCAAATCTTCTTCTCTGCAATTTTCCATCCTTATTGGATTTTCAAAGACAATATAATTTTATCATTACTGGTGGTCTGAAACCTTGGTTGTCTTTTAAAATTATGCATTTGTGAATAGGAAGCAAGATTCAAACATTCATCTCTTCTACTCTTGTGTTTCTGCATTTTATGCGCATATGAATATGGTGAGATACATAGTTCACATGTTCATGCAACACAATAAACTAAATGTCATTGAATATGATGTCTCATTCACGTGGGCATTCAACCCAGAAAAATTTGAAGGACGTTGAATATGGTGATTCATGAATATGTGCATGTAGCAGAGAAATTGAAAGACGACGAATTCGGTGATTCATGCACATGTGCATGTAGCGGAGAAAAGTGAAAGACAACGAATTCGGTAATTCAATCACATGTGCATTCAACCCAGAAAATGAAGGAAAATGAATACAAAAACTCATTCACATATGTATGCAACGCAAAAATTGAAAGACGAAAAATCCAATGATTCATTCACATATGCATGCAACCCATAAAATCGAAAGATGATGAATAGGGATTCATTCATCTGTGCATTCAAGCCAGAAATTGAAAGATGATGAATATAGTGATTCATTCAACTGTGCACGTAACCCATAAATTGATAGATGATGAATATGATGATTCATTCACATGTATATGCAACACATAAGTTGAAGAAACATGTTTAAATAATTTTTCTTTTAGTAGATTGTTGGTATATTTTGAAATATTTGTCCTACATTCATTCTAGAATTTTTAGAGGATAACTTAAGTTTCCATAAATTATGGTAAATTTTCTTTATTTAAGAGATTTTAACATATGAAAATGATTATATATTGATCAAATGTATCATTTTGCCTTTTTTGCATTTAATAAATTATTTAAATTGCTATTTTTTATAATCGTTGGATTAGAGTTAATCAATGTTGATTAAGGTGCTTTTCGGTTTTTCATTTTCTTGTGGTTTTTCCTGAATCTGACTATATATATAAGGATTAGGTTCACATGAGACCAAACTGTTTTCGTGAGAGCCATGGGATCCTTTTTTACACTTGAAACTTTACAGCAAAACATATTGAGAAGGTAAAAAAATATATCAAAACCTTCATTTTATTATAAAGTTTCAAATGTAAAAAAATGGTCTCACGGATCTCACAAAAACAGACTGGTTTCACGTGATCCACAAATCTCTCTCTCTCTCTCTCTCTCTCTCTTATGTATATGTTGGGGGGGGATGAATCAATAATAATAAACAATTTAAATTAAGTAATATATTAAAAAACTAAAAATAAAACACTAAAAGGATAAGTAAAATTGAACGTTGGGTTATAATAACGTGTATAAAAGGATAAGTAAAATTGAGTGTTGGGTTATAATAACGTGTATCACGTTACTTCGTGTGACATGTTTAATATGGGATGAGTCATATCGTATCACGGCGGCTACTCCGAAAACCTATAAAAGAAGTCTAAAATCTGAAGGAGGAGGCTAATGGCGTTCCTACCCGTTGCTATTGATACCCCTAAGGCTACTTTAATTATCATTGTTTTTTTGTCTTTTTATTATTATTATTTTAATTTATTTAAAGAAATTTTTTGATAGGGAGGGGGGAGACCCCTCCAGATCAAGAAAAAATACTAAAACGCTAAAAAGCAACAATGAAGCGCTCGGGTAGGAGGAAACCTCAACTACCAGAAACCAAGGCACCCAGAAGGGAAAGAAAAGGAGAAGAAGAGAAGAAGGATGAAAAGGAGAGAAAGAGAAGAAGAGAGAGAGGGGGAGGGAGAGAGAGAGAAAGAGAAAGAAGCCGACCACAAGGGAAGGGTCCAGCCAAGCCAAGACCGGGAAACAACAGGGAACACCACAAGGAAAGGAGAAGGGGCCTAAAAAGGCACACCCTAGACCACACCAAGAAAACCCAGAGAGCAGAAGAGCTCACACAGATTGACAGACAACACAAACGAATAGAAAGTTAAGGAAGGTTCCAGGCAAGCCGAGCCCGGACAACATTGGGGGAGGGCTTGAAGGTCAGGCTAAGGAGCCTGGACCGGACATCATCAGTAATTGACTTACCCACCGCAATATGCGATCTTCTTTTGCTTTTGAAGATACGATTATTTATTTCTTGCCATAAGTGGTAGACGGTCGCAGCAAGCACTAAGCGACGAATGATAGCCCATAAGGTCTTTCCTTTGGTGACTTGCTGAAACATACCGATAATATCAGCCCAGATATCTGGGACACCATAGAGGTTCAGCTTGGCTTTTAAGCCATTCCAGACCAGATTAGGGAACGGGCACTCAAAGAAAAGATGCGAATGCGAATCAAGCCCGTTCTGACAGAACGCATATGACAGGTCGGAATGGGCCTTATTTAAAGAAATTTTAATTGATATAAGTTATTGATTTTTTTATTTATATTATATTTTAATTAATATAAATTATTAATAAATATATATTTTTTTATAGTAAATATGTTATATTTTAATACGTATTTTATAATATTTAATCATATTATTTYAATTAATATAAATATTAATAATAAATAAAATATTTTACAT